TTCTTCAGGCGGACCCAGTGCGCATATTCTCTAGGGACTTTTGCTCCGACACTGAGTCTGCCACGCCAGCTTGCACAGTCCATGCCAAATGTCTCACACGAATCAAGACCAGTGTACATAGATTTAAGTAAAGCCTTTAGACAGTCCTCATGAAGCGTTTTTTTTTTTTCCTTTCCGTTTTCATAACGTTTCCCATTGGAGAGGTCACCGAACAGTAAGCGTTTGGGAACTCTGCTGCTGTCTGACATTGTCGCGACAACACCTGCCCATCTGGCTTGTACTTTTTGGTAGGAGCGTATGGATGCTGATACAATCGGTCCGTTGTAGGACCTCTGTATCAGGGACTCTGTCCTGCCATTTTAGGTCAAGATGTTTACGTAGGCAGCCTAAGTGGATTTTTTTTTTAGTTGTCCAGCAGGTCTCAAAGTGCAGATGACTTGACATACTGCATTGGGCTTTATGTCTCAAAGTGCAGATGACTTGACATACTGCATTGGGCTTTATGTCTCAAAGTGCAGATGACTTGACATACTGCATTGGGCTTTATGTCTCAAAGTGCAGATGACTTGACATACTGCATTGGGCTTTATGTCTCAAAGTGCAGATGACTTGACATACTGCATTGGGCTTTATGTCTCAAAGTGCAGATGACTTGACATACTGCATTGGGCTTTATGTCTCAAAGTGTAGATGACTTGACATACTGCATTGGGCTTTATGTCTCAAAGTGCAGATGACTTAACATACTGCATTGGGCTTTATGTCTCAAAGTGCAGATGACTTGACATACTGCATTGGGCTTTATGTCTCAAAGAGCAGATGACTTGACGTACTGCATTGGGCTTTATGTCTCATAGTGCAGATGACTTGACATACTGCATTGGGCTTTATGTCTCAAAGTGCAGATGACTTGACATACTGCATTGGGCTTTTGATGTTGAAGCGTTTAAAGCTCTCGAACCTTCGTTGATTTAATCATTTCGAAATGCAATGCGTACAATTTAGAGCCAAGCATGAATGAATGGTGCTGTCGACTTCGTACAGCTGGGGTACTTTAGTTTGTCTGCACAAGGTCGTACATTTCCCAAGTTGTATATGTCAATGCGTTTAAAGAAAAACAGCAAGAGCAGTCAATACTTTTGCAAACACTACATTGACAGACACATTATTTGCAGACACTACTTTCACAGATATTACATTTACATGCAGTACATTTACGGACAATAACTTTACTGAAAATACACTTAAAGACATAACATTTACAGAAAATACATTTACAGACACTCCATTTGAACTATTTAAACATAGAGCTAATATTACAGTACTACAAAAAAGATATTCCCCTAAATACATTCATGCAACTTTTATTTGTATTTACGTCGATCTTATGTAAATATTGCTTCTAGACGAAAATATTAAAATTGCGACGAACTTGGCAATGCATTCATCAATATTTAAACATAGTTTGTCAGTCGAAATCGCCTATGACCACCTTAAACATCGTAAATGCTAATTGTGAAATAGATTGCGGTGCGCAGATGGCTGAAGAGACCGATTAATGGCACGGAATTTTCCTGGTGCAGTAAGTGCAGGTGATATCTCCAGGTGCTGAGTTCACCCGAGATTTTCTGTTGTGCCTTTTGTGCTCTGCAGCCACTGTTTTGTTTGCTTCATGTTGGATGGAGCCTCATGTACAGAGCAACGTCATGATGCTTGAAATTTTGCCGACTCTTCCCACGTGTCCGGATCTATTTCGAAAGCCTTCGGTGGCGCTTTTAGGTAGTCTTTAACGCGTTTTTTCAGCCCACCAGCAAACCGCCTTCCATGCCCGAGTTCACCATGGAATATTCTTTTGGGCAAGTGGTCGTCTTACATTCACAGAGAATGTCTCGCCCCGCGAAGCTGGGAGCTGCATTAAATGGTAAAGATATTGAGGGGAGGGCGGGGGGGGGGGAGATCTACCTGTGCGAGTACCGCAGATTCTGGGACGCTGTCCTGGCATTTAATGTTGAGGGTTTTCCTGAGACGTTTGCTGTCAACCTTCTTGCATGGAGTTGATAGACTAGACCAGGCCTGCACAATATACGGCCCGCGGGTCGCATGCGGCCCTCCTGCACCCACTTGGCGGCCCGCGAAGTAACGAAATATTCTTTATTTTTGTTATTTTCTTAATAGCTTTCCCCTTGTCCTATTATCTTTCGGCCCGCGCAAGCTTTTCATAAAATACTATGGTGCGCACAAGTTTTTAGGTAAAGTATTACGGCCCACCTTACATTTTGAGTTGTGCAGGCCTGGACTAGACCATCCACTTTTCACAGGCATAGAGAAGGGTATACTTATATTTTAGTTTAAGAGTCAAAATGTCACATGGTCCACACTTTCTAAGACAATTTGGCCATAGGTTGCACTGGCTCTTGCCATACGAAGGTTAACCTCGTCATCGATACTTGTACTTTGGGACAGTGTGCGGTTAGATTATACGAGAAGATATTTATTACAATCCATCCTTCCACCCATCCATGTGGCATTAGTGCAAATGTAGGGCTTTGGCCTGCCTGACCACTTCCTTCCACTCAGAATTCCCAGCTGCTGTAGATCCCTCTCCACATCATCCATCCATCTAAACCTGGATCTGCATTTAAGCCGTTTTATCAGGGGGTTTTGGTGATGTACCCTCTGCACTTCTCTGTCATTTTGGCATTCTTTCTAAGTGCCAAGCCCAGCGTAGTCTGACCTTTTTAAATGTATGCTACTAGCATATGATCCTGATATAGTCCATACAATACCTGGTTGGTTTGTATTCTCCATCCATATTCATCCTTTGTTGGTCCGTATCAATTCAATATAACTTTTCTCTTCCATGTGTTTAATAGGTGTCCTGCAGTTTTTGTTAGGGTCCAAGTTTCAATTGCGTATGTTACAACTGGTCTGATAATAGTTTTATAATTAGTTTTCTTTGTTTCTCTTGCACTCCATTTTTCTTTGAGTATATTCTGACTACTGATGCACGCCCTGTTTCCGGCCGATATCCTTTCTTTTGTTTTTGTTAGTTATTCATTTCTTTCATTTATTTAGGATCCTAATTATATTTGAATTTAATTATTTTTTTTACCAAATGTGGTTTCTAATTATAATGGTTTCATCTGCCAGTTCTTCTCTTAACATAGTCGTGTATTTTTTTATTTTTGTTGGTTATTAAGTTCCAGCTCTACTTGTAGTGATGCGTCTTCTAATTCAATAAGAGCTTTTGATATGTCTTTACTACCTTTCAATAATCATAGGGCTATGTCATCCGCATATGCAAGATAATGAAGGGGTTCGTTATAGAGAGTGCCTCTTTCTGCCAGATTTTAGTTATAAGTTTATGTGTCTGAGTGTGTAGTTGTCTTCCTATGTGTCTGAGTGTGCAGTTGTCTTCCTATATTTCTGAGTGTGTAGTTGATTTTCTATATGTCTGAGTGTGTAGTTGTCTTCCTATGTGTCTGAGTGTGTAGTTATCTTCCTATGTGTCTGAGTGTGTAGATGTCTTCCTATGTGTCTGAGTGTGTAGTTGTCTTCCTATGTGTCTGAGTGTGTAGATGTCTTCCTATGTGTCTGAGTGTGTAGATGTCTTCCTATGTGTCTGGGTGTGTAGTTGTCTTACTATGTGTCTGAGTGTGTAGATGTCTTCCTATGTGTCTGAGTGTGTAGATGTCTTCCTATGTGTCTGAGTGTGTAGATTTCTTCCTATGTGTCTGAGTGTGTAGATGTCTTCCTATGTGTCTGAGTGTGTAGATGTCTTCCTATGTGTCTGAGTGTGTAGATGTCTTCCTATGTGTCTGAGTGTGTAGATGTCTTCCTATGTGTCTGAGTGTGTAGTTGTCTTCCTATGTGTCTGAGTGTGTAGTTGTCTTCCTATGTGTATGTCTGAGTGTGTAGATGTCTTCCTATGTGTCTGAGTGTGTAGATGTCTTCCTATGTGTCTGAGTGTGTAGTTGTCTTCCTATGTGTCTGAGTGTGTAGTTGTCTTCCTATGTGTCTGAGTGTGTAGTTTGTTTTTTTTATATTTAACAAGTCTGCAGTGATGAGGTCTTCACCAGGAACTTGTATGTTTTTCATAGAATTGATTACTTCTGTAGTTTTTTTTCCAAATAAGTGGATTTTATGAAAGGGTCTGGTCCTCCATGTGCTTGTTGATAATCTTCATCTTGTGTTTTGTCTGCATTTAGTATTCCCTCAAAATATTCAGCCCACCAGGTAAAACATAAGTACAAGCAGGAACCAGACTGAGACTGTCCGATCTGGAGACTTGTATTCTTATACTTATAGTAGAAGGTACGCCTGCAATGACCAAGTGCCACCGCAATCTTAGCGTTGCAATGTTCGGTTATAAGAAAGTATATCGGTTATCCAGACGACCACCACCCACATTAGTTCGGATAATCGATATTATACTGCAGTTGTTTTGCTGCATATTTTTGTACTAAGTGTGGGGAAACGTTTTTTTTTTTTAAATCCTGGGAACCCCATGACATTTAGACTTGCAAGCTCTACAAGTTGTGCAAAAAGAAAAATATGTTTATTTATTACGTGCCAACATACGCACATACTAAGTCTTATTTGTGCACGTATTTTAAGTGGTCATTCTCAGACATATTACGTCACGTGGACGAAGGTGCAACTGATAACAATACCTCACGTTATCTGACTGAGTTCTGGGTGTCTGTGACGGGGGGGGGGGGGGGGGACAAGCCTAACCCTAACCGAAAGGGCGGTCCGGGGAGAAGTGGTTTTCAATTTTGGGACGGGGGGGGAAAAAAA